CTCCCAAGGAGCAGGGAGCCCGATGTGGGACTCGATCCCAGGACCCTGGGACCATGACCTGAGCCAAAGGCAGACGTTTAACCATCTGAGCCACCCAGGCGCCCCTGGGAGGGCACTTCTGCCAGAGCTTCGGATTTCTGTGCGGTCTCCTAGCTCTGGAGCGTTGGCTCGGGCTTCTAACAACCACCACTGCACAGATTGGACCGAACAGATGTGCAGACCAGCCCTGTTAGGAGTTGGCTTGAGGGCCGCTGTTATTTTAACACCCAGGCATTGTTCTTTTGAATGACTTTGGCTTCAGAGCCTGGGACGGGCACAGAGTGCTCCCTTCCCTGGCTTCTCTTCAGCAGGTTCTTTGTCGAGCCCCTTCCCCGTACCAGGCACTTCGCTAGGTTGTAGGTGTACCTGTCAAGATGAGCTAGAACCCTGCTCTCGGAACTTAACATTCCCATATCTCTTCCAAGAGCGCAGGGGATGCAGTTGATGGTGTTGGGCAGCATCACCTGTGGCCACTAGAGAGGTCACAGCAAAACAAACGCTGTGCAGACTGGGGACTTGGTTTCCCCCCCCCCCAGATTCCCCCACCATCTGCCAAGGGGCGCACTAAATTTAGATCTGGGAGCCTAGCTCCAGCAGTTCAGCAAGGCTCAGCTCACTGCTGGCTGTAAGCGTCTGTGGGCCCAGAGCTCCGGCCACAGCAGGGAGGGTGTCTGTTTCAGGATCGCGTGGTTGCTGAGTGCTGTCAGACAGCCCAGACTAATCCCTGTCTTCTCAAGGCCCGAACAGTAAATAAAATACTCTGACACCCTGCGGAAAGTTCCCAAGAGTCTGACCCTGACTGCGCACCTTGTCTGGGTCCCAGGACGTGCTGAGTGATGGCGTGTGAGCTACTGGGCAGCCCCTGACCGCAGACTCTGCTTCCCAGCCCAGCACGGGAGGACCCTGCGGCCCCAGCAGCCAGCTGCACGTTTTCCCTAAGTGACAATGGCTTGCAACCCTGCACCTGTCGCTAGTTTCTGTCCCAACCTGGGATTGGTGCCCCCCTTTGGTTGTGAGAAACAGCCATGCGCGCTAAGCCAGGTGGGGAGACCGACACCGCCAGTCACACCAACACAGTGGTACCTCTTGGAGCCCAGGGTGCAAAGTGCAGCCAGGCCTGGCGACGGGGCCTGGAAAAGCTGCCCTCCTCCCCCCCGCCCCGCCCGCTGTGGGCTTGGGGTGTGTGGTCCTCATCGATGCTTCCTTCTGCATCTGCTCTTTTCCTGTCCCTCTATTCTCTTCATTTGCTGTGTTTTGCTCATCCTAACAGCCCCCAAAGCCCTCACCTCCAGAATCTTCCAGTTTCAAGGATGCCCCTAGCCTGACTCCCATTGTGGACTTCCAGGTTACAAATGCTTGACAGGGAGAATGTGATTAACCCCTGCTGGTATCCACTTTGACCCATGGGCTGTGGCCAGAGAGGGGCGAGAGCCCCGAGGAGGGGGTGCGGTCTGGGAAGACACGCAGAATGTGTTTGATCCTCTTTCTCTGCCTCTCTCTTGCCCACCCCCCCCATTTCTCATCTCCCCTCCCCTGTACAGTGTCTGAGCCCCTCCTACCTGCCCCTGCGATGTATGGCTGGAGGCTGTGGCCGCCTGCTGCGAGGACCCGAGAGCTGCTCCCTGGGCTGTGCTCAGGCTTCCCAGTGTGCCCTGTGCCTGTGGCGCCCCCACTGTGGCTGGTGTGCCTGGGGGGGCCAGGATGGGGGTGGCCGCTGCCTGGAGGGTGGACTCAGCGGTCCCCGGGACGGTGAGCCGCGCTCGGGGGTGGGTCTGGCACAGAGAACCTGGGGGCACTGGGGGCCGTCTCGGAGGGGGGCCCGGGTGGCTGGGCAGCTGCTGCAGAGGCACCCGGTGCAGCTCTGCGTGTCCCTGTGCCAGGGCTGACGTGCGGGCGGCCTGGGGCCTCCTGGGCCTTCCTGTCCTGCCCCCCTGAGGACGAGTGTGCAAACGGGCACCACGACTGCAACGAGACGCAGAACTGCCACGACCGGCCGCACGGTTACGAGTGCAGCTGCAAGGCGGGCTACACCATGGACAAGTGAGGTGGCGGGGGCCCAGGCGACTGTGGGGGGCGGGCTGTGGGAGCAGGAACGGGTGAGGCGTGGGCCGGCGCAGATGTGAGGCGTGGCGTTCATGCAGGAAGGGGTGAAGGGCCAGCGCGTGGAGGGGCAGGGCTCGCTGGGAAGAGGGAGGATGGCAGGCTAGCCCCTGAGGGAGATGGAGGCTAGACCCCGGAGGGGGAGCGTGGGACAGACCAGGGCTGAGCCACGAGTTGAGGGCGGTCTAGTGGGTGGTGGGCTGGCCGGACCCCCGAGGACCCCGGCCCTGCCCTGCCCCTCCACCGCCCCCCGCCCCCTGCCCCTGCAGTGTGACCGGGCTGTGCCGCCCCGTGTGCGCCCAGGGCTGCGTGAACGGCTCGTGTGTGGAACCCGACCACTGCCGCTGCCACTTCGGCTTCGTGGGCCGCAACTGCTCCACCGAGTGTCGCTGCAACCGCCACAGCGAGTGTGCGGGCGTGGGGGCCCGCGACCACTGCTTGCTATGCCGTAACCACACCAAGGTGGGCTGCCCGGGGCCTCCGACGCACCCGTGTCTTGAGCCTCACTCCGAGCCTGGAGGAGCCAGGCCCCAGGGTGGGGGAGGCTTTGGGGACACTGCCTGGATTCGTGTCAGAGAGGGGCCGCCCCGGAATAGCGGACAGAGTCAGTGCTGAACTAGGGAGGCGGGGCCCGTGGAGGAGGACTCCGGGTGGCACAGGGAAGGGCTTTCTGAGCTCAACACCTGGAGCTGGACGGGCACGAACGCCACCCCCCTCGGCCCGAGTCACCGGAGGTGCGCAAGCGAAGGCAGAGGCTAAACTGCCCCAAGGCTGGGACGGCCCGAACCAAGAGCCTGAGCCCCTGCTGCCCTCCCGCAGCGCTCCCAGAGGGCCCCTTCTCCCACCCTGCCTGCTCTGACCACCCCGTCCCCGGTTTCCAGGGCAGCCACTGTGAGCAGTGCCTCCCCCTGTTCGTGGGTTCAGCTGTGGGGGGCGGGACCTGCCGGCCGTGCCACGCCTTCTGTCGTGGCAACAGCCACGTCTGCGTCTCCAGGAAGGAGCTCGAAATGGCCAGGAAGGAGCCCGAGAAGTACTCACTGGATCCGGAGGAGGTAGGAGAGGCCACGGGCCAGGACTCCTGGGTCTCGGGAGGAGGGGGCTGGCCCACGCCTCTTTGCGATCACCCCGTCTTTCCTTGGCCAGATTGACAACTGGGTGACCGAGGGGCCCAGTGAAGATGAGGCCGTGTGTGTGAACTGCCAGAATAACAGCTATGGGGACAAATGCGAGAGCTGTCTGCACGGCTACTTCCTCCTGGACGGGAAGTGCACCAAGTGAGAAGCAGGGGGGCCGGGGACCCTAGCCCTGCCCACAGCGAATAGCTCTGGGAGCCACACCCCTCTCCCCAGTTCTCTGCCCTCAGGCAGGAGCGGACAGCATCCCCAGGGAGGCCCGGGGCTGAGGCCGAGCTGGGGGCCATGAGCCAGGCTCAGGTGGGAGACCCCCTCCCTCAGAGGCCGGTGCTGACACGCAGACCACAGAGCATCCGCCATGGAGACTGGGGGGCAGAGAGGGAGCTGCCAAGGGGCGAGGCCTTCGGGCGGCCTCCCACCCCAGCCCTTCCTTCCCGAATGCTCAGTAGACTTGAGTCATTCCGACCTGGCTTCAAGTCCTAACCTTGCCGCTGACTGGCTCCCTGGCTTTGGGCAAATGGCTTGACCCCCTGTGAGCTTCAGTTTCCTCTTCTGGCCTGGAGCTCGGACTCAAGCTCACCTCTGCAGCATCGAGCCTGGACCCCTGTGGGCCAGGGGAGCTCTGTGACCCCTGTCTTCCCCCCGCTTCCTCAGATGCCAGTGTAATGGCCATGCAGATACATGTAACGAGCAGGACGGGACGGGCTGCCCGTGTCAGAACAATACGGAGACGGGCACGTGCCAGGGCAGCTCCCCTAGTGACCGTCGGGACTGCTACAGGTACCAGGTACGGCTGGAGAAGTGAGTTCCAGGCCAAGGGCCCTGCACCCCGAGAGGGCCACTCATTCATCCAGCACATATTTACTGAGCCCCTACTGTGTGCTGGGCTGCATGGGAGGCACTGGGATGCAGTGGGCACCAAAATGGGCAGGGTGTTCTGTCCTCGGGAAAGTTACATTCCCGTGGAGGAGCTGAGCAACAAACGAATGAGTAAGTTAGATGCAGAGCATGTTAATGATGAGCAGTGAGGAGAAAGGAGTGGGAATGGTAGATATGACGACCAAGGAGGGCCTCGGTGAGAAGGTGACACTTGAGAAACGATCTGATAGAAGTCGGGATACCAGACAAGCAGCCACGGGGGTTGTGGGCGAGTAGAGAGTGATCCAGGCAAGAGGATCAGCCAGTGCAAAGGCCCTGAGGTGGGACGTACCTCATGCAGTCCAGAAACAGCAAGGCTGGCAGGTGAGGCCGGCCCACCCTGTGCTGTGCCTGGAGCTTCGGCAGTCCCATGCGTGAGCCCTGTTTGCCGCCTGGGTACAGAGGAGGGATCTCAAGTTCAGCGAGCTTAGCCACCCAAGTAGTGAGGAGTAGAGGCAGGTTCGACAGAGCCCTTCATCGCTGCGCCTGAGAGTTCCAGAGGCCTCCACATCAGGGTGGGACAGCAGCGCTGGAGCGTGGGGTCCTGGGGGCCTCCACACTGCGTCGGGGTGAGGGACAGTCCCCAGGAAGCTGCTGGGGACTGAGGGAGCCTGGGGCAGTGGCTGCTCACCAGTCGGTCCAGAATGTCAGGACTTGGAGGGTGGCCGGGCGCTGAGCTCAGCCCTGACCGCCCCCGCCCCTCGCCCCCCGCCCCCCGCAGTGCGCCAAGTGCCGGGAGTCATTCCACGGGAGCCCGCTGGGTGGCCAGCAGTGCTACCGCCTCATCTCCGTGGAGCAGGAATGCTGCCTCGACCCCACGTCCCAGACCAACTGCTTCCACGAACCCAAGCGCCGGGCTCTGGGCCCTGGCCGCACGGTCCTCTTCGGCGTACAGCCCAAGTTTACCAATGTGGACATCCGCCTGACGCTGGATGTGACCTTCGGTGCCGTGGACCTCTATGTCTCCACCTCCTACGACACGTTTGTGGTCCGCGTGGCCCCCGACACAGGCGTCCACACTGTGCATATCCAGCCCCCTCCACCCCCGCCGCCTCCCCCACCCCCTGCTGACGGCGGACTCCGGGGGGCCGGGGACCCAGGGGGACCGGGGTCCGGGAGTGGGCCAGGCACCCCAGCCGAGCCACGGGTGCGGGAAGTGTGGCCACGCGGCCTGATCACCTACGTGACGGTGACGGAGCCGTCGGCAGTGCTCGTGGTTCGTGGCGTGCGGGACCGGCTGGTCATCACCTACCCGCACGAGCACCATGCTCTCAAGTCCAGCCGCTTCTACCTGCTCCTGCTGGGCGTGGGGGACCCGAGCGGGCCCGGCGCCAACGGCTCGGCCGACTCGCAGGGCCTGCTCTTCTTCCGGCAGGACCAGGCCCACATCGACCTGTTTGTCTTCTTCTCCGTCTTCTTCTCCTGCTTCTTTCTCTTCCTCTCGCTCTGTGTGCTCCTCTGGAAGGCCAAACAGGCCCTGGACCAGCGGCAGGAGCAGCGGCGGCACCTGCAGGAGATGACCAAGATGGCCAGCCGCCCTTTTGCCAAGGTCACTGTCTGCTTCCCGCCCGACCCCGCTGCCCCGGCCCCTGCCTGGAAGCCGGCCGGGCTCCCGCCGCCCACCTTCCGCCGTTCCGAACCCTTCCTGGCACCCCTGCTGCTGACCGGGGCCGGCGGGCCCTGGGGACCCGTGGGAGGAGGCTGCTGCCCGCCAGCCATCCCCACCACGACTGCCGGCCTGCGAGCCGGGCCTATCACCCTCGAGCCCACCGAAGATGGTATGGCTGGGGTGGCCACGCTGCTGCTCCAGCTGCCTGGGGGACCCCAAGCGCCCAACGGTGCCTGCCTGGGCTCGGCACTTGTCACGCTGAGACACAGACTGCACGAGTACTGTGGGGGCGGCGGGGGCGCCGGGGGCAGTGGGCACGGGGCTGGCGCAGGCCGGAAGGGACTGTTGAGCCAGGACAATCTCACCAGCATGTCCCTCTGACCCACGGTGGGCTCCTCAGCCACGGCAGCGCAGTGCCCTGATGACGCCGCCCTGGACTCGGGGCTCCTCTGCCTGGGGGCCCCCCGGACAGTGTGTCCTCAGAGACCTCCGACTCCCTTTCCCTGGGCCTCCCCAGCCAGGGCACTCGCCGTTCTGCAGCCAACAATTATTTATTGAATACTTACTCTACGCTGTTGAAGGCACTGGGCAGAGCAGAAAGCGAGACAGACCAGTTCCCTGATCTTGTGGGGCTTCGGTTCCAGTGGAGAGAGACAATCAGTGCGTGCACGTGTGCGCACGCACACACACACACACACACACACGTGAGATCATTTCTGTGAAGGAGAGGCCAGGAGGGATCACAGGATGTGGCCATGAGGGACCGCGGGGTAGGGTAAGTTGGGCACTCGGAGAAGCTGGGCCTAAAGATTGAGAGAACCGGCTGCGGGGAGAACGCTGGGAAGTGGGTCGCAGGTGGAGGGAGCTGCAAGGACAAGTCCCAGAGGTGGGGACCAGCGTGCTTTATTGGAGGGATCGGAGAGGTGGCCAGTGTGACCCAGACCGAGTGCAAAGAGGAGGTGAGGTTGGGGACCAGGCAGGGGTGGCATCACCCAGGGACGTGCAGGCCCCAGATAGGGTTTTGAGTTTTATTCTCAGGGCAATGGGAAGCCGTGGGACAGTTGTATGAGGGTGAATGACAGGATCCGACGTACCTATTCAAGAGGTCCCTCAGCTGTGGTGTGGAGAATGGGTCGGAGGGGACAAGAGATGACAGTGGGCTGGACTAGGGTGGTGGTGGGGAGGGGGTGGGTCAGGGACAGGTGCAGGATGTGTGTGGATGTTGGGGTGGGAGAGGGGAATCCAGGACGACCTCGACTTTGTAGCTCAAACTATGGGCGGACGGCGGGGTCGTCTATTACAGTGGGGCAGCCTGGGGCTTGTGGAGACGATCAGAAGTCCAGTCTGAGATGCCCTGTAGGCATCTCTTCAATCAGGCCCAGCCAGGGAGACAGACCGCTCTGCGTATTTCAGTGGAAGGAACCAAGTGCAGGGGATTGGCTGTTCTGGTCTACGCATCAGAGGTGGGACGGTGAGGTAGCAGCCACCACCTTGGACTTCTGAGCTCCTGTCCCCCTTGAGGACAGCTCCCATCCTAGCCATCTTGAACTTGGGACTCCTTTTTGCAAGACTCCATCCCCCAGCTGCGGGTTTGGACCTCGAGGAGCTGAGCCCCGCCTCTTCTCTGCTGGGGCCCTCAGTCTATGAGGCTGAAAGAGGGACAGTGCTTGAAGCAGCAAATAAAGAGTGTGGGGGAAGGCCGGTGTCTGAGCGCCGTGTGCATGCAGGAGATGGGGTGTCTTGTTTCTCGGAACAGCACCCGAGTGTAGAGAAATCTAACCGGTGTGCTTACCTTGGTGGCCCGTCAGAGCTGCGTGGCTGGGCCTGGCTCCACCCTGCCTCTCCTATGCAGGGGTGGGATGGTGCTGCTTGTTTGTCCCTAGAAAGGACGGACCTAGGGGAGGTGGGGGCGCAGAGACCTCTGGCCCTTCCTCAGATCCCTGTCTCAGGGAGACCCGTTTGTCTCAGGAGGTAAAACAGACTCCCTTGGTCCCAGGCTTGGGTTTTATTCTGGCCTCAGAAGAGTTGAGGCAGCAGAGAGACCAAGATGCCCCAACATGATGAGTTTCCTCGAATCCGAGAAGGCTCTCACGGCCCAAACGGGGAGCATCTCGGGGGCCTTCACCTGCCAGGCCCGCAGGGCAAGCAAGAGCATGGCCCAGGCGGTGGAAATGCGCCCTCAGTTGGCCTTGCGCAGCGTGGGAGTCCAGGTGAGAGGTAAGCACCATGCCTTCTGGTTCAGGCAGCCCAGGGGCAAGGCTGGTGGCTTCATCCAGTGGTTAGCCAAAGTGAGGTGCACTGGGGGGGGGGTTGCATCTGCAGTGCAGTCCACGAAAATCAGTATTTTCAGATTTATGGGCAACGTCCAGGATTTTCAGGGATGACTCTGCCCACACAGGAGTTCTGCCTTGATGAGCTGTTGGTAGTACCTGCCCTCCACGACGTGACCGTGAACTTGTATGTGCTGAGCACCCGTGTTAGATGGCTCTCCTGGCCATGTTCCTGCCCAGCAATCGTATGAGGGGGTAACTAATCCCGGTGTGCAGATGAGAAGACCGAAGTTCATAGACCTCATTCAGCTGTTCAGGGACAGCTGCCCCATGACTCAAATCCACATGCCTGACCACCAGGCCCTCTCACCCCCTGAGGAGGGAGGCCCCGGGAATAAGGGAATAAGGAGGAGACGAGGCCACAGAGAGCAAAAGGGGCATCGTGCACATTCTTCCTTAGCCCACCTAGCTGAGCGCTGTCCCAGCACAGAGCGGGCGCTAGGGGCAGGTGTTTGAAATACCCAGTTTCTGCCAGGGGTCAGGCACAATTTCCCACCCAGGAAGCTCACCAGAAGCAGGGCGTGCTGCCTCGGGGAGTCCCAGGCCAGTCTCCAGTCCCAGTGGAGCGGTCATCCTGCACCACCAGGAAGGAGCTAAGGTGGTTCTTCAAGACTCGTCTGCGTTCTGATCAGACCTTTGGTAAGGTCTCTTTCCCGCCACCAGCCTGTGACTGCCTTCCGGGGCAGAGCATTTGCACTGTGACTGGACCCTGTCCCTGGGACGCAGAGCCGCCCTCTCCAGCTGCTGTCCATAGCGTGCGGATGCTCCTGTACGAATGCCCTATAGCACTGTCCCTCCACTTAGCCCCTCAGCGGGCACCTTGCTCTGCTATCCACATACCTGAATGCAAGAGGCTCCAGGAGCGTGAGAGAAAGCCTGAGCATGGGAGCCTGAAGGTCTGGATTCAGGGGTCTGTGTATGGCCATCAATGCCCTAAGGATTTCGGGAAAAGGGGTGGGGGGGATTTCACCAAGGGCCTACAGCATTCCAGGTAGTGAGTGCTGGGTGCTTGGTGTGTCTTTTACTCTTCCCCCACATCAATGCTGAGAGGTACAGGTTTGTGCCCCCATTTTGCAGATTTGGAAACTAAGCCCCTTGCCTAAGGACTCAGGGCAGATTAACAGCCCAGATTCTGATGCAAGCCTGTCTGTCCATTGCCCCCTCCCCCAATTACCTCTAAAATCATGTCCCTTTTCTGCGTCCATGGCTCCCACCTGTGATCACTCCTCTCCACCTGCAATGGGCTCCACACTGTTCTAGGTGCTGGGAACACAGCTGTGAATGAGGTCCCCGCCCTCATGGAGCTGACACACCAGCGGGGAGCCAGATAATAAATAAGCAAATGATGTGGTATGTTGATATATGGCCAGAAAAACAAGGTGATGAAGGAGGGGAAGGGGGGGTCGGTACTCGCTATGGAAGATAAGGTAGAAGGGAAGGCCTCTCTCTTCAGACGGCGTGTGAGCAGAAGTGCAGGAATGAGCCATAGGGACATGTGAGGGAAGAGAATTCCAAGTCGGGGGAACGGCTAGTGCAAAGGCCCTGCGGTGGGAGCATGGCTAGCATTGGAGAAACAACCACGAGACTCGTCAGAGGGAATAAGGAGGAGAGAAGGGCACAGAGGAAGCAGGAAGCAGATGGTGCAGGTCCTTGGGCCACAGTGAGGGCTCTGGCTTGAACTCTATGCAGGAAGAGCCATGAGAAGTTTCTGAGGGCAGGAGGGATGTGACCTAACTCAGGTGTTCACAGGGCTTCTCTGTGGGAGGAAACTAAAGATGTGGAGTTAGGGCACGGAGCCCAGTGAGGAGCCACTGCATTAGTCTAGGCTGAAGAGGAGGGTGGCTGGAACAAGGTGGGGGCAGCGGAGTAGGGAGAAGTGAGGTTTTGGATATATTCTGAAAGTAGAACTAACGAAACTAGTTGACAGGTTGGGACATTGGGTAATAAAGTGACTGAGCAGCTGGAAAGATGGGGTTTGCTATTTCCTGAGAGGGGGAGCCTGGGAGTAGCAGGTTTTGGGTGGGGAATCTAGAGTTAGGTTTTATTTATTTATTTATTTGAGAGAGAGAGAGTACTTGCAGGGTGGGGGAGGGAGAGAGAATCTTAAGCAGGTCTCATGCCCAGCAGGGAGCCCAACGTGGGCTCTCTCAGATCCTGAGATCATGACCTGAGCCAAAATCAAGAGTCGGACGCTTAACCAACTGAGCCACCCAGGCACCCCTGGAGTTAGGTTTTAAATTTGAGATGCCCATTAGATACTCCTAGTAAAGATGTCACTTGATGGTTGGATACACAGATGGAGAGAGAGAGCGAGAATAACAGCAAATAATACAAATAACAGAATAGTGTAGTGTTATTATACATAATAATACTAACAAGTTTATTAAGCTCACTCTTTGGTCTTTCCATCTGTTCTGTCTCTTGCTCACACAGTAGCCATATGACATATTAGGGATTATCCTCAGAGGAGGAAACAGGCTCAGAGAGGCTTATTAATTGACTAAGATAATACGCCTAGTAAGTGGCAAGAGTTGAGATCAGATCCTTGCTCTGCCCAATTTTGAGACTAGATTTTCTTAATCTGCTAGTCGCTTTTGCAATAAAGAGAACTGGGTGATCCTTAAGGATTAGTTTCAGCTCCAGGGAGCCTTAAACCTGGCAGTTCTCTGCTTTGGAGACAAAGGACCCCCCCACCCCAAACCTGTTAGGATTGTGTGTAGGCCAAGAGTCCATAGGTATTGACTTAGTAGGGGTGGGAAGGGGCTCTCCTAAATTTTTTCTTGGAGCTTTTTCTGGTTTTGCTTATTTTCAGGATCCCCGCAGAGCTTCGGTTGGGCAGTTTAAGGGGTTAGTGGTTTCACTTTGTTAATGAGGACCCCCTGGCTTAGCGAGGTAAGACTTGCCAATGTCATACACAGCAGGCTGGGGTCAAGGATCTGACCCTGGCATCCTTCCACACCTAGACATCTTCCCTGTGTCCCCACAACCCTCACCAAACCTTCTCCACCCAGATTCCTTCCCTGGGACAAAAAGAATGCAGGCGGAGTTGGTTTTCAGGTTTTTATTGTGGGTGTATTTCTGGTAGCGGGATAGGGCGGAGGGGTAGGCCCTCCCACGAGGCGGCAGAGGGGGCCGAGGGGGCAGAGGGGGCCGGGCGTGACCGGTGGAAAAGGAGGAGGCGCGTGGAGCTGCTTTACTCCCGGATCTTCAATTCCCGCGCCATCTGACAGAGGGCGCAGGGCAAACAAAAGGTGAGGGCCGCCCAGTCGTGCCCGACGGAGCCCTAGAGGGTTGGGGGAGAGAGAGTTAGGAGCCCCGCCTTGGGTCCCAGGAGGTCCGTCCCCGCCCGGGCCCCGCGACCCGCACGCACCTGGATGTGATAGCGCTCCCGCATGCCCGTGCGCAGGGAGTGCAGGCCTCCGGGCAGGTAGGGCGCGCAACAGCACTCCCCGAAGTCGTCGGAGATGCGGCAGGCGAGGCACAGGGGGGCGAAAGTGCCGCACAGACCTGGGGGCGGGCGCGGGGCAGTCAGAGCGGGGCCCACCGGGGAGAGGCGCCTGGGGGAGAGGCGAGGCCGATGCTCCGCGGCGCCCAGTCGAGGGTCCCGGAGGGAATGAAGGGTTCCCAGCGGGGGTGGTTTGGAGGCTGGGAGATAGGGTTTTGGAGGGGGAGCTGGGGCCACAACGGGGAAAGTTGAGGGTGCAAGGGGACGTTGGAAGAGGTGAGGTCAGGATCCTGGGGAGTGTTGGAGGTGGGAGGAAGGGGTGAGGGCCAGAGTGTGGGAATTCAGGGTCTAAGGAAGGGAGGGGGCGTGGGGTTCGTGGGGCCTGGCCCCGCCCCCCGGAGGGAGCCGCCGGCACTCACAGACGGGCATGTCGTTGCAGCAGTCCGTGAGTCCCGTGTGCCAGTCGCTGAGCTGGGTCTGGTAGCAGCTGCTAGCGCACTGGGGCTGACTGGTCACTGGGTAGGACATGGCTGCGAAGGTGGTGGGCCAGGGTCAGCGGGCAGCCCGACCACCCCTCCCGGACCCCACATCCCTGCCGCCCCTGCCTCTGCCGGGCAGTCTGGGCGGGGCCACCAGGCCGCCCACGGAGAGGACACCACTGCACCTCCCTTTCCTTTCCACCACGTTTGAGCACTGACACCCCAGTCTGTCCCCATCGCCACTGCCTCCTGCACATCTGGTTGGGCTGTGGGTGGGGAACTCCTGCAAGTCTGGGGAAGGGTGGGTGCCACATCCGGGCGGGGCGAGAAGTGCGCCGCCTCCTCCACGTCTGCGCCTGGGGAGCTGGGTTCCCGCATTTCCAGGGGCCTCTGGGATGCAATCAGGCGCCATCTGTCTTCGAAGCCAGGGCGCCCAGGGGAGGGAAGCGGCCAGGTTCCAGGGACCGGAAGGGTTCCAGTGATCCCACCTTTGCCTTTCACGTTGTCGTGCATCTCAAACTGCATCTTGCTGGCCCTGAGGAGGTGGCGGTGTTGGGGACAGCAGAGGTGGCCGCGGTGACAGTGGCTGAGTCTGTCCAAAGGTTGCTGGATACTGGGGGAGGGGCGGGCAAGGAGCAGGGGCACTGGGGGCTGGGTTCTCAGGGGGAAGGGCACTGGGGAGAAAGAGGCCAAGTCAGCCTGCCAGCTGGGAGAAACATGGAGTAGGGATGTATGGGGTGGGGGCGAGAAACTCGCCCATCTCTGTACCGCTGCCCGACAGACCCCACAGGACCTTCCCCATACCAGAGGTAGAGCTGGAGACAGAGACCAGGGGACAGAGACAGGCGGAGTCAGAGACAAGGGGAGAAAGAGATCAGAGCCAGGTGCCCATAGAGATGCCACCAGTAACACTCACACCTGCCCAGGGCTTTGACTTCTCTGCAAGCCCATTTCACAGATGGAACACTGAGGCTCAGAGAGGTGAAGAGAAATGCCCCACATCCGACGGCCCAGGCCAAGGGGGTTAGTAGAGGCCGCACTGGGCCCCAGGACTTCCAGATTCAACCCAGCGCCACTGAGGTTGAGAAGGTGGACACGGAGGGCATTGAGAAAGACAGAAGTGTCCACCGAGACAGTCAGAGATATGCAAGGGACAGAGATGTCAGGGGAGCGGGGGTGGGGGGACACAGAGAAGAGGCTGTGGGCAGATGCTCCTACCTGCAGGAGACAGCAATGGCGATGATGCAGACAGGTGTGGGTGAGCCGGGCACTGTGTTCTGTCTCTGGCCAGGAGCTGCTTATATTGGGGCGGGCCACACAGCCCTGGGCGGGGCTCTGACAGAGGTGCCCAGGGAGCCCAGCCGGTCTGGCTGACCCTCTTCCCCCCACAGGAACTTCCCCTCCCTGGCTCTCCATCCCCCATCCCCCCTTTTCCCCTCCAGCTCTTGTGGGACGAGGAAATCAGGGAGGGGGCCAGGGATGCGGAGCTGGGAGGGGAGACAGAAAGGGGAGCAGGCAGGGAGAGACAGGGGGTGAAGGGAGAGAAGGCAGAGGGGAGGCGCAAGGGGCGCAGCTGGGCCACAGTGCAGAGACCCAAAGAGAGGGACGACAGAGAGACGGGGAGGGAATGGGGGACACAGAGACAGAAGGGGAGAGGCCCAGGCGGGAGAGAGAGAAGGGGATTCAGAGAGATGGACAGAGACGAAGACATAGAGAGATGGAGAGAGAGATGCCAAGACAGAGAGGGACAAAGATCTGGGGGAGAAACAGCAGAGAGAGGAGCCAGATTCAGAGAAGAGACACAGAGGTGGAAAGTGGAGAGGCAGGGAGGTGGAGGAAGGAATGGGGGGTGCAGGAGAGTGCAGTGGGGGCTCCCCTGTGAGGGCCTCTCCTTTCCCCCTGAGTGAGGTTCCCACTTCCCTGGAAGAGGGGGCACCGTCCTCCCATTTGGGGCCACCAGGCCCATGGGGGGCAGTGTGTTTTGGGGGTGACTCATGCTGAAACCAAAGTAAATATATACAACTCACTCGACCTTCAAACTGGGAAGGGAGGAGGCTGGGAACCGAGAAACTGTGGTTCTGGAAGGAGATGGATGTGGCCCAGGACTGGGGGTGGGGGTGGGGTAACAGAGCAGATGGGGGCGCGGGGGCCGGACTCCTGGGTCTGAGGGAGGAGGGGCTGGGGCTTCATCTGGGCCCCTAACAGAGGAGGGAGAGGGGCTCAGATTCTGGCTAGGGGTGTAGACTCTTGGGTTAGGCTAGGCTGCGCCCCTGAGTGTGCAGGGGTCCTGGGATTTTTGATGCTGGGCTCCTGAGTCACCAAAGTCTGCCCCCAACAGGCCTGGCAGGGTTGGAAGTGACTCAGTGAGGGAAGCAGCATTAGAGTCGGGTGGGGTTTCTAGCACAGGTGTCACCCCAAAAATGTAGGCGCTGGAGAATTGGGGTGTCACCTGCAGAGAAGGTGGTGGTGTCACCCCACTGGGAATGGGTATGGGGTGATGGCAGGTGGATCACCCTATCCGCCTGGGATCCCAGCTTTTCCCTCACCTCCCAATCCAACCCACAGCAGGACCCAAGCCTTGGTCTCCCGGCACCACCCAGATGGCTCGCTCTCCTTGTCCCCAGACTGCTGGGTGGCACTCAGCGTTTTTCTGGTGCGTGTCTGTCACTTGGTCCAGGAGCCTGAATGTCTAGGAACATCTCTCCACTTCTGGTCTAGTGTCCCTGTGCCCCCATCTCTGCATCTTTGCCTCACTAGCTCTGTATCTCTTTCCTGATCTGTGCCAGTCTGTTTCCAAGTTGCTCTGGTTCTCTGTCTCCCCATGTCTGAGTCTCTGTTCTCCCAAGCTGTGTGTCTCCGGCCCTCGTCCCCGGGTCTCTGCCTCCCATCCCCACATCTCCATCTCCAGGCCTCCTCACAGAGGCAGCCCCAGGGCCCCATCCCCCAGCTGGCCAGACCATGATCTGCAGGTGACTCAGGGTCAGTCATCTCTGAGGACCCCAGGGCTCCCAGGATGACAACCCGAGTTGTCCTCGGGTTTCCTCTCCCCACTCTGACACAGCCTGGGGGCTGCAATTAGACAGCAACTCATGTAGATGAGGAAAGCGGGTGGGGAAGCTGTGAGGTGGCCTGCTTAGGGGTGAGGAGGAGGGCAGGGACAGGAAGAGCAGGGGCCTGGGGCCTGACCAGTGGCCATGGCTGTCTCTGAGCACCTGGCATCCATCCCCTCAACAGGGTTGCCGGATAAAATATAGGATGCCCAGTTAAATGTAAATTTCAGGCAAACAACAACAACAACAACAACAACATTTTTTTGGCGTAAGTATGTTCCATGCCATCTTTGGGATATACTTATACTAAAAAAGGTATTTGTTGTTCATCTGAAATTCACCTTTAACTGGGTGTCCTGTATTTTTATCTGCTAACTGGAACCCTGCCTTAAAAGACAGAGGAGAGGAATCCAAGTCCCTGGCCCCTCTTTTTCCAGAACCCAGGATCCCAGGCCTCCAGCTCTTCTTCCTCAGGACCTGAGAGTCCAGGTCCCGATCCCCGTCCTCCTCTCCCCTAGAATCCATGATTGGGGGGGCACCCAGCTCCTATTCCCTCAGAACCCAGGAATTCAGGCTCCCAGCCCCTTTCGCTCCAGAATCCAAGAGTCCAGGTCAGGTCTGGGTCCAGTTGCCCAATGCGGGTTTCATAAGGTGGGTGGTGCCATCCATGGCCCTCGTGGAACCAGTCAGGCAGAGCAGACAAGTGAGATTGTCCCCTCTTCCCATCCTGAGCCTGCTGCTTCCTCGAGGGCCAGCCCAGTGGGGCTGGGAGCAGAACAGGAGCTCAGTGGAGTTCTGGGTGGGACACCGTATCTGGGTTTGGGTGTGTTGTGTCTCTCTCTGGGTGCTGTGTGTCCCTGTGGGGGTTGTCCCCATGTCTCTGTGTGTTCTGGGGGGTCTTTTCTATTTGTGTGTCTATATTGCCTTTCTGAGATTCTACCCACTGTGCATCTCCCCACCCCGCCCGCCCACTGTGCATCTGGTTCAGGTGTGGTCGGTTGTCATGGTTCTAGAACTCCAACTGGATTAAGGCAGGAGTGATTTATTGAATAGGAGCCTCGTGTGATGGGTTCCAGAGCCAGAAAACCTGGGTTCAAATTCTCATAGCCTCTTCCTGGCCATGAAAACTTTAGCCAATCACTAAGCTTGCCTGGACCTTGGTGTGTCCATCTTTAAAATGAGTGGTGGCAAATAGGGTGGTTGCGAGGATTCGACGAGTTAGTTCATGGGAAGGGCTTAGAACTGTGCCTGGCACTCGGAAACATTTTGTGTTTCTGCGGCTGATGACAGCAAGGTGCTGTTCTAGCTGCTGGAGATACAGTTGAGAAGGAAACCAAGTCTTCTCGTGGTCCTGGCTGGGTTTGAATGAGTGGCTTGCCTGTGGCTGGGCGTATAATTGCATACCTGGGGTGTCTGATTTGCATGTGGAATAGGATATTTCTTTTTTTTTTTTTTTTAAGATTTTTATTTATTTATTTGACACAGAGAGACACAGTGAGAGAGGGAACACGAGCAGGGGGAGTGGGAGAGGGAGAAGCAGGCTTCCTGCGGAGCAGGGAGCCCGATGCGGGGCTCGATCCCAGGACCCCGG